TTTTTTTTTTTGTATTTTAAGGAAGGGTCTACAGGGTGTTCAGGGTCTCACTACTAGATTGGACTCATAGTGATCCACCTGTTTACAGCCTCTGAAGAGCTGGGATTACAGGAGCATGCCACCATGCCCAGTCTCAATTGCCGTCTCAGCATGCCCCAGAGGCGAGGCCAGCACAGCAGGCTTGGGGATCGAGCCCTGGCCCCTGCACCTGCTTGCAAGTATTTTAATCTGCTGAGCTATTTGGCTGGCCCTGTCATCACCTTTTTTTGTTCTGCTAAATTTACATTGTAAATCCAACAGTGCCATGCGTGGCAAAGTAAAGAAAATGCAGAATTAGAGAAAAACATAGCTCATTCGGTACAATCCCCACATTTCCATTCTCTATGAATACTCAAAGATAGCAATGGGAAACAGGTGCCATCCAAAAGTATCTGAGGTCCCTCAATGGCTACATACACTATGAATTCATCAAAAGAAGCTAATGAATGTTAACAATTTAAGAATAAGCAAAAGAGGGCTGAGGATATAGCTCAGTGACATAAGTGGCAAGTGCAGTGTTCTGAGTTCAATCCTTAGTACTGCAAAACACTAAAAGAAAGAAAGAAAGAAAGAAAAAAAAGAAAGAAAGAAAGAAAGAAAGAAAGAAAGAAAGAAAGAAAGAAAGAAAGAAAATGTTCAGGCCTAACTCCACTCCCTTCCCATAAAAAATTTATCCTGGAAACAGTATAAAAATTAATTGAAGGGCCAGTCAGATAGCTCAGCAGATTAAAGCACTTGTTAAGGCAGACACAGGGGCTGGGAGTTTGATCCCTGGCCTGCCTTGCTGGTCCCAACCCCAGGGCTCACTGAGACAACAATAGAGACTGGCTGTGGTGGCATATACCTGTAATCTCTGCACTTGGGAAGCTGAAAACAGGAAGATCACTATGGGTCCGATCTGTGTAGTGAGACCCTGTAGACCCTGCACTAAAAATACAAAATAATAATAATAATAATTGAAACTCAATCAAAATCATATTGGAATCATGATTCACTAGCCAAATAAAATATTTTTATACAGGAAGAGTACTTAAGAGTTCCTGCTAGGCCAGAGGTAGATTTACTTGTTTATTTATTGTTTGTTTGTTTGTTTGTTTATTTATTTATTTTTTGGCCGAACTGGGGATTGAACTCAGACCCTTGCGCTTGCCAGGGAAGCACTTATTCTATTGAGCTATCTCCCTGGCCCTCCTGTTTCCTTTTTAAAAAAAATGTATTTAGTATAGGCCTATAGTGTCTCACTACACAGATCAGACTCATAGTGATCCTTCTGTTTTCAGCCTCCCAAGTGCTGGGATTACCACCACGCCCAGTCTCAGTCGCATCTCAGCGGGCCCCAGGGTGGCAGCAGGGCATGCTGGAGATGTTTCCTTTTTTGAAGGCAGGGTCTTGTTACATACTTCCGGCTGGCCTGAACTCAATATGTAGCCCAGGCTGGCCTTGAACTCAGTGATCCTCCTGCCCTAGCCTCGCCAGTGCTGGGATTACAGGAGTGTGCCACCACTCCCAGCCAGATTTACTTATTTATAAATTTAACTCCAGTATTCAATTTCATTAGCTCCAAAAGTTCAGTGAAAATTTTGTCCCTTTGAAAGCTAAATAAAAATAAAAGATACAAACCTAAAAATACCTTTTAGTAATCTTCAGTATTATAAAATGTTTACTCTCATAAAACAACCTGGATATTGAAAGCAATTGTTACACAATTTATTTTGGAATTACGTTTAATGCTACCAAGAATGTTCAAATCTACGCCACATAGACAGCGGGCCAGGCTTGGTAGCCGGCCTTCCAATCCATCTGTGCCCTATTTTAAGCTTGGATCTAATCTTGCCAAGAATGGCCTCCTGAGATGGTCACTCAGTGAAGACCTGCCCAGCAGAACTGACTAGATGGAAACGGCGCCAGTGCTTACCGCATGAGATGCCGCACGGCTCCATCAAACTGCAGAAACAGGACCTCCCTGCGGAGGAGGAGGGCCTGGGCCACGTGGGCGGGGTCCTGCGGCTCCTCAAGGCTGTCGAGCATCTTCTGTAGCTCTTGAAGCTCAAACCCTAGAAGCAGGCAATCTGCATCAGACTGTGAGATGCAGGCGAGGACAGCCTGTCTGAGGAGGCTCCATGTCACCTCCAAAGCGTGTCACCTAGGTAGCATTCCCTTTCTTGGGGGATGCACTAATTATGTTTCGCAAGAGCAGCAAAAGCATATTCTCTAGAACCTGAGGTCTGATGTGCATTTTTTCCTTTTTTTGAAGAAGGTAAAAACATGCTTTGTTTTTTTAGCAGAATAAGAACACGCTGTTGAAAGAAAGTTTTAAAATTAACAAGGCTATGGTCTCAAAATAGAATGAAAAGAGAAATTACAGGGAATAGAGAAGCAAGTCTCCAGAATATCCAGTAGGGACTTACAAATTATAAATTGTAAACCAGCAGTCATTGTCACTCCCATGCCATCCTACTCAGCCTTCCTAATGTCACTAAGTCAGGGGCTAATGGAGATGATCCAAAGAAAGTAAACAAGAGTGTGTGTGTGTGTGTGTGTGTGTGTGTGTGTGTGCATATATACAGATGCACATATGACATGTGAATGTATATATATATATATGTATATATATATATATATATATATATATATATATATATATGCATATTCTTTTGGGAGATTCTAGTCATTTTTGAAATAGGTGTGGGAGACTCCATTTTGCTGGATTTCTTTGACACATGCTGCAAAATCAAGCTCCATTTAAATAACTTGGTGCATACTTTGGATGAAAATTTTATTTAGAGGTCTTTGAAAACACTTGGTGCTCAGCTAAGTGACCTGGCCTGAATCTGGATAGCTGTCTTGAGAATTCCACCATGGGCCAAAGAAGGAATGATTGATGTAGCAAATGTTAGCACGTGAGGCAGGAGGATCATTGTGAGTTTGAGGCCAGTCTGGCCTACAAAGTGAGTTCAAGGCCAGCCTGAGCTGTGTAGTGAAACTCTGTCTCAAAAAGATAAGGAAAAAACAAACAAACAAAAACAACAACAACAGCAATGAATACAGTGAAACAGTGAAGTATAATGCCCAGTGGGCCCACGCTTATGGGGCTGCCAGAAAGCCAGCTGGTTTAAAATGCTCATCAGTCTCCTGCAATGCCAGTGACAGCTATCTATCCAGAAAGGACATCCTGTTATGGGAGGAAACTGGCCAGGGTCCCTCTGCATGTAGCTCAAGGAGGAGTGGGGAGGAGGCACAGGCAGGCAGCGCAGAGCTGCTCTGTCTTTCTAGCTCATCCAGAAGTGAGCAGCTTTGTGCCCTCCCTCCCTGGCCCAGTACTGTGTCTTCTCTAGCATTTGCCTGCCAGGAAAGCAGGGGTTGTGGGAGTGAAGACACCCAGGAGCACCTGATCGGGCAGATCCAGGGCTAAGAAAAGTAGCTGGTACTGGCAAGGTGCTGATTCTTGCCGTATAGTCTCCTGGCTTTCGGGCAAGATGTGCAGTGTAGACCTCATGTCTACTTGCCATCGCACACACAACAGCATAGTGGTTTTGTATTTTTTTCAGTCTGCAAATAATCAGATCCATTTATCAATGTTTTATTATTCTTCTAAATCTGATGGTCCTTTGAGGCCAAAATGTTCACCTAGAGAGGAGCGATTTTACAGCAAACTGTACATTAACTTTGGTGGTTGCTGGTGGGAGTAAGGATCGTCCCTGGTCCTCACTTGTTGAAGGCCTGGTGTTCTGCTCTGCAAGCAGCAGGCTCTGTGGGCTACATGGCCATGGGGGAAATTTTTATAATCCTCTGCAGTGACAGAGAATAGAGGAGAACATGAAATAGCACATGTCCTGTGATCAAAGTGCCATAACATACAGATGTAAAATGTATCTGGGCAAGGGCTACAAGGGAGTAAAGATAAATAAAAATATTAAATTTTTATTTATTTATTTATTTATTAACATTTATTGTGTGTGTGTGTGTGTGTGTGTGTGGCCAGCTCAGCCCACCTGGGGGCAGGGCTGGCTGGCATGTGGTGCTGGGGGATTGAACCGCGGTCCCTGTGCTTTGCCAAGCTTGTTCCAAGTAGGTGCTTTAGACCACTGAGCCATCTCTCCAGCCCCAAGATAAATAAAAATATTGCACTTCTTAAGAGTAACTGGATGACTGGTGATCTGTATACTCTGGCAAGTGATCATTTTTCAGCAAAACAGCTATATGCTGATAAGTGGCATAATCATTAAAATATGGCTCTGGAAGTGGGGACCGCCCTTCCTTTGTTATGCACTGACTTACCGTTCCTTCTGGCTTTCCTTTCTTTATAGGGTCCAGTCACTTGGTGGGCAGGGAGGGGTGGAGGTGGGCAGGTAAAGTGGGCTGAATGTCAGGATGGGGCATTTGGTTGCTAGGCAACGATGGGCTGGGGCCTGCGGCACCCAGGAAACCCGGAGAAAGGAACATACCGGTGTTCTCCCCAGGAGGAGGAGGAGCAGGAGAGGATAATGGGGGCGGGTGTCAGCATGGCCCCAGCCCTGTCCAGGTGAAGACTCCGATCCAGTGCCCTTTGTTTCCTATCTTGAATTCCCGAAGTCCTAAATTCAGTGAGCTGTATTTTGGCTTTAACTGAGCTCCTAACCCTTGACAAAGAAATCTCAGCCTTCACTCCCACACCCCACTCTGTGCTCTGCTCTCAGGGGTTCCAGAGGGAGTGGCTGACTACGGCTTTCAGGCAAGAACCTGCCAGCGCCCACAGAGCTAATTGACAGTGGCCAACAGCGGCTTCCTTCAGACAGGTGAGAAGACTAACGGCCGAAATTCTGAGTATTCCTTTTAACAATATTTTAAAGCATTCCAATCCATAAAAGTCATTTTATCCCTTTCCAGATAGCTTGAAAATGGCTTAGAGAAATTCTGCCACTTCATCTCTCACTTAGTGCTCCCTGCCTCCTTTGGGAATCAGGCCAGGAGCTAAGCGGGGTTTGCCTTTTTAACAAGATGACTGTCTCAGAGTGGGTTGTGTTTGGGTTTGCCTTTTTAACAAGATGACTATCTCAGAGTGGGTTGTGTTGTTATTGTTGTTAATTTGTTTTGTTTTCGGTTCACTTTGCCACTTTATCAGTCTTCAGCAAATCAGAGCTTGCGCTTTCTCCCTGGAGTGCAAATGTTGTTACACACAACCATGTCAAGGTTGACCCAACACCTCAGAAAGACTGAGCTCCCAGATCGCCTTGGCTCATTTAGAGCACATCAACAGTAAGACAACAGCAGCCTCCTCTCTGAATTCTAGGTCCCCAGCAATTGGGCTTCATTTCTCCCTGATGCTCAGTGTCCCACGGCTGAGCTGGCTGCAAGGAGTCCGGCCTGGCACCACAGTTGCCCTCTTGTCCCTCCGGTTTTCTTCTCTGATCCACATCGCCTCCTTCCCAAGAGGGGGGAGCTCTTTGCTGCCAGCAGCACTGGGACTAACGCAGCGACTCCATTTGGAAACGAGGCTCTTGCTTTCAGCTGCTGTGTCCTCTCCAGGTAGCCAACACCTGCCTGACTGTCCCAATGGCAGGAACACAGTTTTTGTGACCTGCTGGCCTTTCCACTGTCCCTTTTCAAAGCTCAACCTCCACATCTTCCCAGCAGCTCCCCTAAAGGTCTTATTTTCTAAAGGCCATCAAAACAGTTGTGATGTTAGTAAAAGAAAGAATCTAAAAGTGCTTTTGATCTTCTCTAATCTTTTGATGTATTCCTTGAAGGCATGCTAGCCTTTCTGAGCATTCCACAGCTGCAACAGTTCTGTGCTTTCTGCCAAGGTGGTGCCAATGACAGGCAGCCAACTTCCTCCCAGATTGCTACAAATGCCCCCTCCCTGTGGGATGTTTCCAGATTCCTTCTGGATCTGTTAGCACAATACAAATCTAGCCACCAGCTCCAGGGTCTTCTCAAACATGTTGCCTTTATGCATTGGCCAGAGGGACACAGACTCAGAGATATTACATTTAAAACTGCAGGGTTAAAATAGGCCTCTTTGTCCATCCCCTGTGTGGATGGGGCAGGCAGTTGCCAGGCAGAAACATCAGGGAAGGAACATTTTCAATGTTTCTCCCAGGAGGAGGAGGAGGAGGAGGAGACAATGATGGGGGAGTCTCACAGTAGCCTTGGCCCTGTCTAGGTGAAGACTCTGGTTTAGTGCCTCTTCTCATTCTTAAACATCCCTGGCTATTTTGTTATGATATTTTGCTATTTATTGATTAATATTTATATGATTAGTGACTTAATTTGGATGGAAGTCAAATTACTGAACTAAGATCAATTTCTTTGCTCTGATAAACCCCACTATTACATTGTCTTCATAATATATGAAAAGACTATCTTATCCCTTGTTGATGAACTCAAATTCACTGACCAGCTGTGAGCAAATGAAACTAAAGCCTTAGTCATTCTGACCACAGACTATCAGGTGGTTATTTGCTAACCAGGGGCTGTTTGCAAGCTTCTTCTTCTTCTTCTTCTTCTTCTTCTTCTTCTTCTTCTTCTTCTTCTTCTTCTTCTTCTTCTTCTTCTTCT